TTTGGTTTTTTTATTATTTTTTTTTTAGCTGCCTTCAAAAATTTTTTTTTTTCAAATAGGAGGCTCGCCCGGGCCACGGGCCGGCCCTGGCTCGAGCCGACTCCCCAAAGTGGGGCTTGGTTCGACAGAGCTCGAGCCGGGCCCGGCTAGGGCTTTTTCCGAGTCGAGCCGTCTGAGCCTCCGAACTTTTTTGCCACCGCTACACCAACTGCCAAATTGAAATTTTTGGGTATATATACTCTACAATGTTTTGAAAGGTTTGGACCCCTAATGAAATTCTCCCTTTGTAAAATTCAAAAGAATGTTTCTACAATTGTTAATACCTCGATCGAGTATATTCATTTTACTTTATTTTAGGCCTGTTTGAGCTCCATTATAATTAGTTTTTGGAATATAATTTTTTTAAGAAATATATGATTGAAAAATAAGGAAAAAAATTTAAATTTACATGTAATATTATTTTATTTAATAGTGTCTGGTTGAAAAGTAGAGTGAAAAATATATATTTCGGAATGAATAGAGCGCGGGCTTAATTAACTCAGACTACTTTAACATTTTCGAAGAATTTGCTCTTCGACTTTCCAACTTTGCTAGTTTCCAATAAATTCTCAACTCGTCCAGATTATGCGTACGCGCATTCGTCTTAACTATAAATAGGGTTTATTGCTTGAGAAATAGTGAGAATTAAAAAAAACAGTCGCTTTTGTGGGTTGTTAATTTTCTGTATTTAGGGTTCCCGAAATGGATGAAGACTTTAAGAAGGTGGAGAATAGCATAAAATCAGCCATGAATTATGATGGAGATGCATGCAGTATATGCCTTGACGCCTTCTGTCAAACCAATCCTTCAACGGTGAAATGTCCACTTATTTTTCACTTATAAGTAAATTTACTTAAGTTTGTTTTTTGAGCTTAGCTAAACATGATAAAATTATTTGAAATCAATAACTTTAAAGCCTAAATAACATGTTTATAGATTTAAAATTTTCTTCCAAGTAATATTTTTTCTAGACGTGTTTGGATTTTCTTAGAATTATAGTACAAAAATTAGGCATTTCAAAGGTTCAAAGTACGTTGGAATTTTTTAAGGACACGGCCAAACAATGCTAACCTGCTGAGTGTTATAATCATGTATTAATGATTCATCTAAATCATGTCTTGTAGGCGACGAATTGCGGACATGAATTCCACCTTAAGTGCATTCTTGAATGGTAAGAGCTTG